CACCATGCGCGGTGGAGCTCAGGCGCGCCACATCGGCAGCGGGATGTTTTTTTTTTTTGCGTTGGGGTTCGCGCGCGGCGCCAGCGAGATCCCATGCCAGACTGGTCGGCGCCCGAGCGCGCGGGGGAAGGACTCGCGCGTCGACTCGGCGGCGGCCTCGCACCGCGTCCCCCGCGCGGCGGCCACGCCCTGCGAAGGGGGCGGCGCCTCGCTGCGCGGCGAGGCGCGCGCGCGCGCTCGCGGCGCGCGCGCGCGTCTCGCGATGCTCGAGGTGTCGTTTTGGCAGCAAGATATAGCGTTATGTCGGGCCTGTCCCCCACACAGGAGGATTTTCGACGAAACATGGAAAACACACACAAAAAATAATCGAAACATGCTCCAAAGATAGTCTGGGGATTATTTTGGTGGTATTTCTACAATGTTGGGGTATTTCTGTTTTTCCATTTGTCGTCGAAAATCCCCCTGTAGGGGGACACGCCCGACATAAATATAACGCAGGCGGTGCGCGACCGATCATATGCCGCGCGCGTCGCGCCGCGCGACATGCCGCAATTGCGCCGCATCGGCCGAAGACTCGACGCGACCTCTCGCGCTGGGGTCGGCGCGCGGCGCAGCCGAGACTTCCTGCGCCACTGGGCTCGCGCGTCGCGTCGGCGGCGGCCTCGGCGCGCGATGTGCGCGCGGGGGTTAGCGCGCTGTTCCAAGCTGATTCCTCGCGCGGCGGGGTAACGCTCGCGCGCGCAGGGGATGGCTCGCGCCTCGTATTGGCGACGGCTTCGGCGCGCAATTTCTCGCGCTGCGGTCGGCGCGAGGCGCCAGGCAGCTTCCTCGCGCGAGTGGGCAGCGCTCGCGCGCGCGGGCGGGGGCTCGCGCGTCGCGTCAGGGGCGGCTTGGGAACGCGATTTCTCGCGCTGCGGTCGGCGCGAGGTGCCAGGCAGCTTCCTCGCGCGAGTGGGCAGCGCTCGCGCGCGCGGGAGGGGTGGGCTCGCGCGTCGCGTCGGCGGCGTTCCGGGGGCGCGATTTTCACGCGGGGGTCGACGCGCGGCGCCGAGCATCTTCCGCGCGCAATTGGACATGGCGCTAGCGCGCGCATGGGGGGGAGGGGGGGGGGCTCGCGCGTCGGGCCGGCGAAGGTTTCGAGACTCTCCGCCGCGGCGCTCGGCGGCTCCCCCGCGCCGGTCGGCAGCGCCCCGCTGCGCGGGGAGAGAAACTCGCGCTTTGCACTGGCGTCGAAATCCAAATGACATTTAAGCGCCGCGGCCGCGACCCGCAGCAGACAGGACGCGCCTCGCTGCGCGAGTGGGCACGCGCGCGCGGATGTCTCTGCGGACGCGCCCCAGACGCGTCGCCGACGCGAGCGCGTCGCCGCGCGACCACCGCAGGGGGGCCAGGGTCTGCGCGATAAGAAGCAGGCATGCGTTTGTTTCTGCACCCTCAGGCCACGCCAGGTCTCCCCAGGCGCTCAAGAACCATTTGGTTCCACGCGGTATCGTCGCATCTCGCGCGGCTTCAAGGGCTGGCCTCCACGTGCTTCCAGCAGCTCCCCAGGGCGCCCCAGGGCCCCCCGGGGTTCCGTGAGGCCCCCAGCGGTTCCACGAGGCGTTCTTTGAAGCTCTCTGGGATGTTATCAGAAGTTCTTCTGGCTCCTCGGGCCTCCTGGGGCGCCCCGAGCATGCCCGGGCCCCCCTGGGCCCCCCGCGGCCCCCCGGGGATCGGCGCGGCCTCCTCCAGCCCTCGAGCGCCGAGGGCTCGCGCCGCAATTGAAATCCCGCGCGCCGCTGCGCGATCGGTCAGATGTCGAGGCGCCGCGGCGGCAATTCAGTTCGGCGCGTTTGCGCTGGGGCCGACTCGCGCGTCGCACCGGCGGCGGCCTCGGCGCGCGCTCGTCGCGCAGCGGTCTCGCGCCGCGAAGGGGGCGGCGCCTCGCTGCGCGACGAAGCGCGCGCGAGTCTCGCAATTCTCGAGGTCCCGCCATGCATTTCAAAATGCAGCGCGCGCGGTGCGCGAGGGATTCTGCGCCGCGCGCGCGCCGCGCCCTGCGCGGCGGCGCAGCTGTGCCGCGCCCGCGAGACTTCTCGGAGCGCGGCCCCTCGCCCCGGGCTCGGCGCGCGGTGCCCCCCGCCGCCCCGCGGGGCCAGGCGACGCGCGGGCGCGCGAGGAAGGGCTCGCGCGCCGCGCCGGCGGCGGCCTCGGCGCGCGACCTTCCGCGCGAGGGCCGGCGCGCGGCGCCGAGCGCCCCCCCCCCCCCCCGCTACGAGGTGGCACCTGCGCGGCAGGGGGGGGCTCGCGCGCCGCGTCGGCGACGGCCGCGGCGCGCCATGTCTCGCGCGCCGGGGCCGGACTCCTCGCGCGACCGGGCAGCGCTCGAAGACGCGGGGGGGGGAGGCTTCGCGAGTGTCATCGGGGGCGGTCTCGGCGCGCGGCGCCAAGCAGCTTCCCCGCGCGGCGGGGCAGCGCTCGCGCCGCGTGCAGGAGAGGGTTCTCGCGCGTCGCGTCGACGACGGTCTCGGGGCGCGGTCTCCGCGCGGGGTCGGCGCGCGGCGCCGAGGAGCTTCTGCGCGCGAGTTCGCAGCGTTTGGGGGCGCGGGGGAGGGATTCGCGCGTCGCGCCGGCGGCGATGTCGGAAGGATGTTTCGGAGTTGCGGTCTCGATCCACGAACATGGCGCGTCGCTGCGCGGCTGGGCGCGCGCGCGCGCCCGCGCGGATGCGTCTTGGACGCGTCGCACGTGCGCGCGCGTCGCCACGCGCCCCCCGCCCGGGGGCAGGAGGGGCCACCACGAAAATTATGAAGGAGTAGCCCAGGCGGCGTCTGGATTCCTCGGGCGCACACACTTCATTTGGTTTCGTCTTCCATGTTTTTTTCGGAGTTCCACGCGCATCCTATGGCGGCGTCGCAGCTGTGTCGCATCTGGTGGCATCCCGCTACGCAACCACCGCGCGGGGCGTCGGGGAGGGGTGGGGCTCGGTGTTTCAGAATATGTAATTGCATATACATATACGAGAGATCGCGATTCACGGGCGCATGCCTTGGGAACATACGGCGGCGCGTTTCAAACCGGGGGGTGGGCCCCCCCAGAACACTCAGCGCCGTCGATCAAAACCAGGGGGGCTCCCTTCCCCCCCGAACCCCTCCCCTCCCGAACCCCCCCCCCCCGCGGGGACGCAGCGACGTTGACCAGAGGCAGCTCAGGGGGAGGGGGTTCAACCCCCCCCCCCTTTGGCGCCGGGGAGGGGGGGGGGGTTCAAACCCCCCCCCCTCTCGCCGGCGCAGGCGCTGGCGGCGGCCAGCAGCGCCGGCGCTGGCGCCGGCGACGGCGGGGACGCAGCGACGATTACCACCACTACCACCACCACCACTACCACCACCACCACCGTCCCAACCCACCACCACCACCAACAGCACCACACAACCACCACCACCACAGCCACCACCACCACCACCACAACCACCACAAATCACCATCACTACCACCACAAAAACCCACCACCACTACCACCACCAGCACCACAATGTACCACACCACCACCACCGCCACAACCACTACCAGCAGCACAACCCACCGCCACCACCACAAGCCACCACTACAAACCACCACCACCACACCACCACCACCACCACCACCACAACAAACGTCCACAAAC